GTATAGAAAACCATTTTGACATCTATTTCTATTTCAAAAAAAAGTTCACTAAGGTTCAATAGACTTTTTTTTTAAATTATTAAATAATAAAAATGACTCATGATAGTCTCAAAATAATATCTAATTATTACAACTCTCTCCTTTTGAAAATTACATATTATGTTAGTTTTATAACCACTCTAGTCATTCCCATTTAAAAATTTTTAGAGGTCAATAACATGCCTAAGTATTATTATGATTAACCAAACAATGTAGATCACTATTAAGAAGAATTCACTTGTTCATCTATAAATGAAGTTTAAGGTATATAACATGACACCTTCTCTTACTATCATGAAAAAAAAAAGCTGAAGAAAGCCTCTATTTTTTATGCTTAAAATATTAGGTAGAAGAGATCCCCCTTAGCACAGTAAATAGAGCCATATAAGAGATGATAATGAAGCATTTACTACTAATAACAGGAGTATCATTTGGAGGTCAATGACATATCTAAGTATTGTTGTGATTAGCCAACCAATGTAGTCGAGCATAAAATTTTTTTTTCTTCCATAGAAAAAGCTTAAATTTTAATAAGATAAAGAAAGCAGAAGAAGGCCATCACCTTTGATGCCTAAAAAAATATATTAAAAGAGATCTTCTTAGCAGTATGAATTGATCCATATAGAAGATGATAAGTGTTCAACACTAAAAATAAGGGCACCAGGAAAAACCTAGTTAAATTGACATTAGTAGAGGAAGAGTAAGTTTTCTCTTTAAGTTTTTATGATGAAGAAAAGCTACTAGTAGTGGAACATGTTGGAAAATGCATTCATTGGATGTTGGAAGAGGTAAGGTTCTTAAGGATGACATTTTGGAGGCTTGTTTTAAAGAATTACTCAAAAGTACACCATGAACATAATAAAGATTGAATGGAAATTATAAATATTTGAACCCTCAATGGTCTTTCCCATAGTGATGCTGACTTGATTTAGCACAAGTTTATTCAATCTTAGAGATTAAAATAGAAAGAAGCAAGGAAATCCTTAGAGAAAGAAGCAAAAGAAATCTTTAGAGATTAAAGTAGAAGAATATGAACATCCTTTCTTTCTCTTAAATAATTAGAAGGGTATTCAATTCTCATGTTACTAAGAAGATAAGGTGTATAAATAACCTCATTTTAAATAGTATAAATTACCTTAAGATGCTATTTTATTAAGACAAAGAAGCATCCACTATAGACTATGTAATTATGAATGTTCATACATTAAAGTTTCTAAGTCTACCAATTCACATGAATAATCACATATTTCAAATTTCATGATAAAGGATCTTTGTATTCTTTATAAGGACTTTCATTTTATGTAATTCAAGATAGCTACGTAGATTTAGTAGGCTAATAACTTGACTCAACCTAGGATTCTTTTGGCTCAGATAGCTTCACTTATTTTATCAAGTTCTCATCTTCAATAAAATTTTTTACTCAAAAGTAAGCGAACCTAAATTTTGAATTGGACAAACAAATTATGTTGTTGTAAAATTAATGAAAATATAAGGAATTTTTAAAAGGATGAATCTCTCATAAAATTTTCTTATGTTTACAAACATCAAACAAGATATTAAAAAAAGAAGACTATAAATATATGACTTCGTTAATTTCAATTGATACATGGTTCTAATAACTATTAGAACCACATTTTGGTAAGGACTTGATACATTGAGAGTAATGCTAATAAATTTTTACAATGAATTATGATAATTCTCAGACCCATGATCAAGATAGTTATCATCAATCGCTTGTAAGGGACCTAGATTAATGAACTAGTTTGCCAACATATATCATATTACTTCCTACCAAACAACAAAGATCAATTATTATGGAAACATTTAAAAATGTTAAATTCACATTATTCAGTCAAAGGAGAAAAATATTTCCTATATCAATGCTCATGGCTCGGCTTGAGACATCATATCTTCAACATCGACTAATGGGTGCAATTATTTTCTATCATTAATGAGCTGAAGATGGCTTTCATATTATTCTCATTAAAATTTAAGCTAATGCACTCAAACCTCACTGTCTCAATACTTGGCATTCATAATTTAATTACATTGGTTTATGATATAGAGAGAAGAGGCTAAGACCTTGAGTAATACCCTTGTAATTTGAATAGTTGTTGATAGGGACTTATTCTTGAAGTTTTAGGTTATTGTCCAAATAGTTCCAAACTCTAGCTTTTTCATGATTAATGGGTGTATTACAATGGCTTGATCATTAAAGCTAATATTAAATTAAACTTCTATTAAAATCATAATCAATGAAATTAATATTCTTAACATCGAAATAAATTTGAAATGAGTATTGGTCAAAGCCAAAATAAGAATATTCATTGATGCTAAATGTTGAGCACAACCTATAACAAGGTCATCGAGTATTCAAACTCATCATACACTTTCATCATCCAAGAGATATCTCTTTCTTATATCTCTTCTCATCTCATGATAGTACCTTTAAGGATTCGTTCAATTTATATGTAATTCAACATAATTATAGTATAAAATTTCTTAATGAGAGCATGATGTTGGATACATTTGTAGGCCTTGAAGTAGTTTTTATGATCAAATGAAAAGATGGAAAAAAAAATGTAAGAATTGGATATGGCATGGATGATGAATCATCAATTCCTCTTTTCCACCCATCTAGATGGCCTCCTATATATGTAAGCGCTTATTAGAGGTTGTCATATGAAAGCATTAGAATAAGAATAGAAGTTCTTATCCAAAAATGTTTTAACAATGATGAAGAATGTGTTGCAAACATTATTCACTACTTAAATAAGTATTAAAACAAGAAAGGATGTTTTGTAAACTTTGATTATTACTAAAATGAGAATTATAATGAAGTAGGTTGTCAACTTATAATTAATAAGATTATACCACATCTCTACTGGTCTTCACAATATGAACAAAATAAAAAATAAAATACTAGATTAACTTTTCTAAATCAATATTAATGTAGAACTTATTCACTCTAACAACTAATCATTAACACACGCCATAATTAGATTAGCTTAATAATAACTCAAATGACTCAAATACATCACTGCTTGACAAATATCATCCAAATTAAAACATTCATTAAATAGAGCTCGATGCGATTAAGTTAATATTGCAACTATCAAACTTCTTTGTTATGCGAGCAGCCTATCATGACTTTTTGGTAGACAAAGTTTGTAAGACCTTTGAGGTCACAGTTTCAATCGCATGGTTCTAATAACTTAAAAGTTTGTAAGACCTTTGAGGTCACAGTTTCAATCCAACCTATGTGTGGGATAGAATTCTTAGGCACATGAGGTTGGTCGAGGCTCATATAATAGCCTTTGACCAGTTTTTTATTTTATTTTATTTATAGGCACATGAGGTTGGTCGAGGCTCATATAATAGCATTTGACCAATTTTTATTTTATTTTAAAAAAAATAAAACTTCCACAAATAGAGAGAAATCTTTTATGCCAAACCTAGACAACTTGGCATTTCTCGAATAGAGAGATCTTAAAAAAACCAAAATTCTTCACCCCTACATAATGCAAAACAACCTATAAACACTTAATTCGATATAATCTAAGATTTTTTGGATCATTACATATGTATGATAATTTCATGAATATTTGTGTCAAAATAAAATCAAGGCCGTTGATATGGAGTCCAAGAATAGAAAGAAACCAAACCTTTCGCCTCAATTCTCTTCACACTCATGCAATCTTACAAAATATTATTTCCTATTGATGTTAGTCTAGCTTAAGATTAACCAGATCAGTTACCATCATAAAATAGAAGTTGTTTTGCCCTAGGCAAAAAGACGTGGTACCTAAAGCATCTTCATTGGGATCAATGAACATATGACTGATTCAAGCCCATATATGCTACGTTAATTCTAAGAATCTTTGTAGCAATAAAATATTCTTAATAATAGTGCAGAATCATCCACGTCACCCAGTTTAAGTAAAATATAAAGAATTCTATCATCATTATAACTGTTGGCTTTATCTCAACCATTTGAGCTTAACATTCAATTTTCTCAATATATATATATATATAAAGCCGAAGGCTATTATGCGAGCCCTGACCATCCCTTATTCTTAATAATAGTGCAGAATCATCCACGTCACCAAGTTTAAGTAAAATAAAAAAGAATTCTATCATCATTGTTGGCTTTATCTCAACCTTTTGAGGTTAACATTCAATTTTGTCAATATATATATATAAAAGGAAAAGACAAAGGCTATTATGGCACGCCCGCCCGCCCATGCATGCACACACACACACCCCCCCC